GGCACCACTACTCTTTCACCAAACATCAGACAATCGTTGACGATCCATAGTGACTCCCGCCGCTGATACAGTTGCTTCATGTCACCTTCAAACTTTTTCGACGGCCAACCGTTAGTGACATATTTCATCGTCAACTTGATGATTGGGTCGTCTCTAGAAGCATTTTGTATGTCTGTCGCAGACACCGGTAATGCGCGAACTGCGGTTGTCAGATAACATTCTGCGTGGTCTTCTACTGACAGAGATGTGATCACCATGTTTTCCTCAGCCGATACTTGATCATTAATGAGTCGTGACAAAGCGTCTGCTTGACCGAATTGTAGAGTACGTCGATATTGGATTTCGAAATCATACCCCAAAAGTACCAAGGCCTATCGCTGAAAACGATTTGCAGAATGAGCTGGAATGCCAGACTTTGAACCAAATATTGCTAACAGAGGCTTGTGATCTATGAGGAGCGTGAATCTCCGACCGTACAGAAACTTATGGAAACGGCGAACAGCAAACACAAGGGATAAGAGCTTCTTTCTCTATCTGGCTATACTTCTTTTCTGCTGGGGTCAGTGTACGGGATGCATGCATAACGGCTTTTTCTGACGCGTCTGGAAACTGATGTGAAATAACAGCACCTAAGCCATATGCTGAAGCGTCTGCTGCTACGATGATCGGCATGGATGGGTCGTAGTGTGTTAATAACAATTCCGAACTAATTATAGACTTGAGTTTACCAAAAGCCGCCTCACACTCTTTAGTCCAGTTCCATGTGCTTTGCTTCTGCAGTAGACAATTCAATGGAGCGCGAATATCATGCATCGAGGGAACAAAAGCTGAATAATAACTGATTAAACCGAGAAAAGATCGTAATTCGGAAACATTAGTGGGAGTGGGCATCAGTTTGATAGCTCGGATGTTTTCAGGACCCGGTCTGCGACCGTCGGCATCAAAGATGAATCCCAAATACTTTACCAACTGCAATAGAAACTGGCATTTTTCTGGGCGTAACCGGAAACCATTGTCACTGATGCGTTGTAGTACCAATTTCGTGCGTTCCCGTAGCTGTTCTAACGTCTTCGTAACAATCAAGATATCATCGAGATAAGCTGCAACCCCTGAGATATCTGACAGGATAGTATCCATTAGTTGTTGGAAGATCTATGGGGCAGTCTTAACTCCAAAAGGTAGACGGTTATACTGGAACAAACCACGATGAGTGTTGATAGTAAGCAGCTCTTTAGATGCTTCGTCGACTTCCACTTGCAAATAAGCATCAGCTAGGTCAAGCTTTGCGAAGAACTTTCCCCCATTCAGCATAGTGAACAGATCTGCTGGGACTGGCAGAGGATAATGATGCTGTTCTAGAGCTGCGTTGAGACCTGTAGAGAAGTCAGCACATATACGTATCGTGCCATTGGCCTTCTTGATAACGACTACAGGTGCTGCCCAACTGGAGTAAGAAACGGGAGTAATAACTCCTTGTCGTTGAAGGCGATCCAGCTCTTCATCTACTGTTGCTAGTGTTGCATAAGGTACAGGTCTCTTTGGACGAAAAGCAGGCTTAGCCCCATGTTTCAACCGAAGTGTTGCTTTCATAGCAGTGCACCGACCTAATCCAGGTTCAAAAATGGTTGAAAACTCTGTCATCAGCTTCTTCGTATATGCTTCGGGGTCATGTGGTTGTGATACCAGGTAGCATATGGTATTTAACGGGACATCAGCCAATTTTAGATGGTCGAACCAATCTAATCCAAGTAAATTTAGATCAGCTGGCGTTATATAGCATACCCCAGTAAACGAAGAATCTCGGAAAGCAACTTTACATTCCAATTGTCTTAACAGACGAAGATAATTACCACATGCTGTACGAGGCTTTTGTGTTGTGTGCTGCAGGCTTGGACTACCCAATTTGGTCCAATTTTTGCGTGAGAGGATAGCGACATCAGATGCAGTATCTATTTGCATTCTACACAAATAACCGTTAATATTAAGAGTAATAAATTTCCTCTCACTTGGTGATGAGCTTTGGCAGGAAGATATTAGGCTCAATGCATTGGTACTGGATCTAGGAACAGGCTTCTTAGCACTTCTGGATCGCTTTGGCTTTTTCTGTAGGCAAAAGCCATCTTTATGACCGATGACTTTACACTTCCTGCATCTATGCTGCCTAAATGGGCAGTTCCGTACATTGTGCCATGAGCCGCAGTGCCAGCAAGCAGAAGGTGGATGCATTTTGGGTTTTTGGGCAGAATTGGAGCGGGATGAACTGGGTGTAGCATGGGCAGACTTATTATGATTAGGTGGCTGCTGTACCAAATGAATTTCAGATCGGCTTGAACTACCATTCTGAACTATAGTTGAGTCTCGTTGTAGGTTAGTGAGACGTTGGTACTCATGAGCCATTTCATTAAGCGTAAGCTTCGGATCTTGCTCCAACCGACTTAGTAGCCTTGTTCTAATATCACTGAACTTACTCGACTGGAGGCTGCAGATGAGTATAAGGGCTTTGAACTGGTCTTCCGACAAAGACTTCAACCGAAAGCGTTCGCATTCACGGTTGACGATGCCCACATGCGTTAGAAAGTCATCATCTTCGTTCATAATTAGCTTCAAACATCGATAACGAGCATTAAATAGTGACGAGTTGTCGCCATAGTGTAGGCTTAATGTCTGAACAGTCTCAGAAAATGAACAATCTCGTGGGTTCAAAGGCAGGATCAAATTACAGTACTTATCCAGCTCACTTGCGCCCAACTTTCGAAGTAGCAGCCGAACCTTCCAAGCATCATCTTGGTTGGCGAAATCAAATTTAAATAAATATTCATAACGCCGGAACCACATGTCAAAAGTGACATTTGCATCAGGATCATAATGAAATTCAGATATGCTATTTGCGATGCCGTCGACCGATGGAGCTGTGATGCATTAGATGAGCTGGGCTGCGTGGAAGGGGAAATCTTCATGTTTGTCAACATCTACATCAGTTTCAGCTGCTGCTCAAGTAGTTATTCAAGTTTGGCAGGATCCATATTTCCAAAATCACCGTCGCCACTGATAAGTTCGTCACTTAGTATGCTTGAGGCTATTACGAGTTTACCTTAGTCGATAAACGCGAACGAGACTTTACCAGCTTCCAGTGAGGCTACCTTGAATCCGAGGCTGAAGTGAAAAGGCTTTGTAAGCGTAGAAAGTATATTCTACAAACACCCAGCAATCACAGTACAATCAAGCATACAACTCTCGTATATTTATACAACATAGGAACGTCCTTGAGACAGTTAAGAAAATAGCATACTAAAATATACAGCAGCCAATCACAGCCATGGATTTTCCTGGTGGGAATTGAAATCTCAAGGTCATCTGATCAGCCCATGCTGGTAAAACGTGAAAACCAAAATATGGCATTATCAAGCAAATTTTGGGGATCTAACATCCCCAACAAAACTACTTGAATATTTTAGCTTTGCATTTTGTAAAACAAAATTTCCACTTATAATAAACGTTCATTTTCAACATGTCGTTTATCATCAAATAACTTAATCTGTGTTGATCATAACCTTCTCTATTTATCATGTGCTTCTCATTGATACATTTGCCGGTATTTCTCCATAATTCAACTTTCTATAATCATCTAAATTAACCAAAATATTTGGAATCTAATCAAAAGCATGGTACATTGTTGAGGATGCTAGATCCCCAGAACTCGCTTGATAAATCTCTTTATTTTGGATTTATTTCATGGACTGACCAGTTGACCTTGAGATCACATTCCCCACCAGGAAATTCCTTGGCTGTCATTGGTTGTTGTGTTATTTTAGTTTGCTATTTTTGTATCTGTCCCAAGGAAATCTCTATGGAGTATAAATAAACGCGATTTCAGTTCTTTGATTCATTGTGTGCCGTCTGGGTGTTTGTAGAATACACTTTCTACGCTATATCGAGACTTATTGCTGGTACAATTGGGACAATCGGATCACAGTAGCCTACCTGGACGATAATTCATTGTTATTGTTCTTGTTATTCTACTAAGGTGAAGCTGTAATAGTTTTAAGCATACCTAGAGACGAGAGTAACATATACAGTAGCAGGTTATTTCATTATGTAAGTTACATTTCAATCCCACGATCGATATCTTCATTCGATTAGTTTCAAGGCAGCCAATATTAGGTGATAAACTATTTCAGTTCACCACTTGTTATTTGATTCTTTGATTTTAACAACATACTATTGTTTTTATTAATGAATCAAGAGTTAATTTCATTGGGATAATATTTCAATAACTTTGATATTATGATTAATAGAAGTGTCATTAGATTATTAAATGTAATATGAAATACCAACTTTCAAATTGAAAACAATCATACGTGTTATGAAAATCAATTTTAATTAATCAGAGATAAACAATTAATCATCACTGAAATTGTGAATCGATAATCGTTATGAAAAATCATAAAATGTGCATACTAGTAAGGAGGATATCCTCGGAGTTCTATGGTGGGACCATGACCAGTGGATTTCAACCCTATAGGATGTACGCAGTAACTATCATAGACAGTGAATGATGTTGCGTTACATCAGGGATTGATTAAAGTTAAGCATTAAAGCCGTTCGAGGTTGACTCAGTAATCTAGAGGTTAAGTATTCATGCATAAGTCCGAAGTTGCTGGATTCGATTCCCGCGAGCCGAAATCGTGGATGCACACTATAGAAGAGTCCTATACGAGAATGAAACAGTTGTCCAGTGCTTCCAGGTAACTAATAGTGGCTTAACAACGATCAACTCATCATTTCAATGAAACTCAACAATCTCGATATATCTATGTCTATAAACGAGAAAGTTTCTCAAATAAAACTATCAGCCAATTTTATTGGTTTGTATCAATTCATTATATGTCGGAAGTATTACAGACATTGTAGGTTGAATGTAGACAATTAATTATAACGTACAATCAGTTAATAACTAATTATTCCTTATATATATCATGGAATTATCAGAAACAACAACATTGTTTAATAAGAGTTTTCATTCATAAATTTATCAAAATTTATTCATATTTGTCAATTAACCGTTTTGTTTACATTGTAAACATTTTCACAGAAAACATTAACTAGATCTGTGGCGGCACTATTGTACAAGCATGGTTATGACACCGATTACTACAACAATCATGATTAAATTGACAATCAACTCCTAATCCGAAACATTCAACACATAAACCAATTGAACTATTTATCATTTGACATATATACGGTGTACAACATGGAATATTTGGATCACAATCTTCAGCTAAATTTGCACAATTTGGATGAATACCTATAATGTGATACAAAAAAATAAAACTACAATAAATATCGTAACACTGCTTGCTGACTAGTGACTAGCTTCGTGAGGAATCTTCTCCGAGTTTCTAGTTGAGTAGATGTGACCAATGGAGTTCAACTCTGTTGGGTGTAGGCAGTAACCAGTGAAGACAAATGGGTGAGGTCTCGCCAAAATCCGTAGATCAATCAGAGTTAGACATTAACACCGTTGGATGCCGGTCCAGTAGTCCGATGGTTAGGCGTTCGCGCACAACACCGAATGTCGTGGGTTGGAATCCTGCGAGGTGCAGCTGTCGTGGATGTGCACTGCTGATGAGTCCCATACCAGGACGAAAAGGCTGTGCAGTGCTTCCATGTTTCTAATGGTGGTCTTACAATGACTGCGTGATGATTTCAAATGTATAAAAAATGTTTAATCTTACTGTAATAATACTGTTCAATATGTTACAATTCTGGATATGCCATGAAATTGAACAGTTCATATTACTGAAATCATGTTAAGATTGTCCATATCACATTATCAGTAGTAAGTATGATTCGTAGAAAATTCGTAGAAAATGCATTGAATTAGAACGACACTAGAAACCCAATCTGACTGGACTCTCATCTTGTGACAACCATAGATGAATCGGTCTAACTAATATAATATCGAAAATATTGACCTCAATAATACTTCGACGCTTAATGAAAGCTCATGAAGAGCAGACTCGAGAAAACCAGGTTGGTTTCAGACCTGTACTTGGATGTATAGACCAAATTTCACACTACTTCATCTCCTATAACGTAGACATACATCTCGACGGCCAACAATAGTTGTCTTCCTTCACCTTAAATAGAAATTTGGCTATGTCGATCGTGAGGTTCTTTGACAGTGTCCATCATTAAAAGGTGTACCAAAGAAAGATATCAATCTTGTACAGGCTCTCTACTTGAACAATACCGGTTGCTTCAGAGCTTATGGCAAACTATCATCGGAATTGATTACCTAGAGTGGTGTTCGTCAGGGTTGCCCACTTTCTCTGCAATCGGTCTTCGACTAGGAGACTCACTTTCGTTCTACAATAAGATCTGTAATTTCGATAAAATGTCAACGAAGCTATTTTAACAAGTAAGTAACAATTGTTCACATTTGTTAGTTACGTAGCCATTCACAAATTACTGACTATTTGATAATACATAATTGTAATTGTTATAATTCTGCTATGTAGCTATTCGAAATCCTACCGATTGACCGAATTCAGATATTCCAATACGACTCCAAATACTGTTGCCCTAATCTCCAATATATATCACAACTCAACACCGTTAGATGAAGTTGTCTATGAGGTTGAGTACAGAAGGAATGAAGGAAGGAATGGAATAGAATGTAATGATAAGCTTTACAGATAATGCATATTTATACAGTTAGATCGAATAGGAAACAACATTTACGTCTGTGACATTGACAGTTAGGATGACCAGAATATTGACCAGTAGGAATTAACCAATAGGAATTGACCAATAGAAATAGACTTACAAATAATTCTCTTTAATATCAGTACAGTAATTTTTACACCATAGTGTTTTGATAAATGTTCAGTGCAAACTGATTAACTGTTCATTTAGTCAGATGATTATCAAATACATGACTGATTAATTATCATAATAATATTTTTTGATTTCATGAGAATCTTTATGATTCCAAATTTTCCTTTGTGAATAAAGCAATGGCCCTGCGGTCCAGAAACTAGGCGTTCACCCACCAAACCGAAAGTCCTGAGTTCGAGTACTGCCAGTAGCAGGAGTCGTGGATTATTGAATTGGTTCGACCCTCTTCGAAATGACGTTTATACTCGATACTAATTCAGAATGTTAATTAAGTATTTTTTGTATAGGATTGTTGTACATTGACGCATTATTCGAACTCAATGTAGTGCTGTGATGTTAGCAGTTTGAAAAATCTTTTAGTCCATGAAATTGAATGATATCCAGTTGTTATTGATCGATTTAGCTTTTACATACTTGTAAGTATCAATACCATTTAAGTGATACACAGGTGAACCTTGACACCTATAAATTACGTGTAGATGTGCTTGTTAACAATAGTTAATTGTATCATACACTAATATGAATGGGGACAATTTTCCTTCTTTTCAAGAGTATTTTTCAACATAAAATCTTAAAATGTTAAGACTTACAAGAATTATAGAAACGGACTACTTTTATATGGTATACGTTACAAGAAAAGCTCAAACTCAAGGATTACGACAATATTATAGGGTGATTTCGGGTAATCGTTAAGTAACCCTGAGACCTATCACCAAAGCGTCCTTGCAAACGTAACCAAAGTGATAATCCGTATCCAGTTTCATTATCTAACTACCTTTAACCATTTAACATTCAAAAAAAATGTGCGCGATTGTCAAATTAGTTCAATGTGCATAAAGACTAGTTCAATTGTCAATATATCAGACATTTCACTTGATCAACTTTTTACGAGTGTCTTAAATTAAAATTCTCTAAACAAAAACAATGTTTGTGATCATATTCTTTTATAAAAAAAACCCGATGTATATTTCCATTTTACAAAAGAAAAAATAGAACTTACTCGGTGCTGTAATGACTTGTTCAAAATTCATTATTGCCGCCAAAATGTACAATATTAATGTAGATAAACTCGTATGCATATTTCAATAGTCAATTTCAATGCGATGAAAATATCCGGTTAATCTTCTATTAATTGTACAATTTCATAATGTATGCGCTTTTTTATAAAAAAACTTCTCAATGTAAATGACAAAGATCAATTTTGTTACACGAAAATGTAAAATTAACTTTAGTTCAAAGTATTGTCTTGTATATTTGTAAATTACAATTTCATCTTTGGTATATGCTTAACATGTTTGTATTGATCAACTTTTAAAAAAAAATTGCACATATATTTTTCATAAACAAGCTAAAAAACTCTTCATTTTTGAAAAAAAATGAATTTTTAGAACGGAAATTAACTTTAAACTATCAATTATGTGATGTAGTTAAATGGTTTTGTGATAAACATTTATTTATTTAATATAATGACCACTTACACATATTACAATGTAATTCAAACAAATACACAAGCAGTTATGTAAATTTAGTTCAGTTAATGTGAAAATGTAGAGAAACAAACATCTTTAAAATGGAAGATTGATTTTTTGAAGGCATTGTTTGTGAAAATCCCTCCATGTAGGCAATTGTAATAAGTCCTTATTGATTTCTTAAGTTGTACATTTAGTCTGTTAAATTGTTCGATTCCATTTCGAGATGATGATAATATTTGTATTTTATTATAGTTTCTATTTCTTTTGCCTTCACTGAGTTTCTGTGTTGCTTTCTGAACTGCATTTATGTTGTTTAAGCTGATAATTAGTCATGGCGGCGGCCAAATTGATTTGTTCCTCTTTTGATTGTGTTGCTTGCTTAGACTGGAATTGTACATTTTGATTGTGAATTGAAACACTCTTCCAGATTCGTGTTGTAAAGTGACCAAATATTATCTTTTGAACGAATCTGATCTATCCAGAAAGGATAGAATAATATTTATTTGTTGCTGTTGATTTGATTAACTGAACAATTTTTGGTGGAATAACTGAGCGGTAATATTTGTTTACGTAATGATATACATTTGTATTTATGAAGAATAATAGAACCGTTATTTACCCAAATCACTTGTTTTGGTTTTTACTGGGCAAGACGCCTATCTGAACTACCCGAACAGTTATTCCTTAGTTCAAACCTCAGTTTGGATCCTACAAAAATATTTTCTCATCAACGTACTGATTAAAACTGAATAATAGTTTGCAATGAAAACTGAGAAGTGCACAATAGTACTTATCACTTTAAACATCAGTATATCCTAACACAGGATATCTTGGTAGGACTGAGCAGCAGAGGCTGAATTGCTGACTTTTAGGTGCTCTACGAAACAATCATCATGCTAACGGTTGAATTAAAGCATACCAAGGGCACAGAACAGCTTTAAGTATAGTTTTATGAATAACTAATCAGATACTAGTTAGTCAGAATAGAGATATTGTATTATACTGAAGTATAGTAAAGTTACAAAGTGTATGCAATCCTACAGTCGCATAATTAGACTCTTTTATCCTGACCCTAATACTTAGCCATCATAAAGTTTGTTCAGTTATCAAAATCAAAATACTTGAATATTTTAGCTTTGCATTTTGTAAAACAAAATTTCCACTTATAATAAACTTTATCATAAAATAACTATATCTCTGATAATTATTACCTTCTCTATTTATCATGTGCTTCTCAATGATGTATTTGCCAGTATTTCTCAATAATTCAACTGTTTGTAATCATCTAAATTAAACAAAATATTTGGAATCTAATCAAAATCTGTATATACCGTTGGTGATGCTAGATCCACAGAACTCGGTTGATAAATCTCTTTATTTTCGATTTATTTCATGGAACAATCAGTTGACCTTTAGATCACATTTCCCACCAGCAAAATCCTTGACTGTGATTGGTTACTGTGTCATTTTAGTGTGCTGTTTTTGTGTCTGTCCCAGGGACATCTCTATGGAGTATAAATAAACGCAATTCGAGTGCATGGATTCATTGTGTGCTGGCTGTGTGTTTGTAGAATACACTTTCTACGCTATATCAAGAATTCTTGCTGATACATTTTGGTCAAGGGATCACAGTAGCCTACCTGGACGCTGGTTCATTGTTTTTGTTCTCGTTATACGACTAAGGTGAACCTGTAATGGATTTAAGCATACCTAGAGACGAGCGTAACATATATAATAGTAGGTTATCTGTAATCTCACTACGTAAGTTACATTTCAATTCAACGAGCACTATCTTCATTCTTTTGGTTTCAAAGCGGACAATATTAGGTGAATTCTAACATATAAACTATTTCAGTTAACCACTTGTGAATTGATTCTCAATTTTAACAACATACTATTGTTTTTATTAATGAATCAAGAGTTAATTTCATTAGGATAATATTTCAATAACTTTGATATTATGATTAATAGAAGTGTCATTAGATTATTAAATGTAATATGAAATACCAACTTTCAAATTGAAAACAATCATATGTGTTATGAAATTCAATTTTTTTTTAACAAAATTAAACAACTAATCATCACTGAAATTATGAATCGATAATTGTTATGAAAAATGAGAAAATGTGCTCACTAGTGACTAACTTCATAATGAAATTCTTAGAGTTCTAGAAAGAGGCTGTGACTGGTGTAGTTCAACTCTGTCGGGTGTAGGCATCAAATACCAAAGAGAATGAGTGAGTTAGCGTAACATCAGAGATTGATTAAAGTTAAACATTAAAACCTTTGGATGTTGGCTCAGGCCAAGCGTTCTCGCAAAAGGCAATCGTGGATGCTCACTGCTGATGAGTCCGACGTTAGGACTTGACAATGGCTGTCCGATGCTTCCAGGTAACTAATAGTGTCTTAACAACGATCAACTCATCATTTGGATGAAACTCAACAATCTCGATAAATCTATGAAGAAAAATTTATTAACAATATAAATTGTTTAAAAATACTATTATAAATTCACATTCAAGTACAATCACATGAACTAAAATCTTTAAAAAGAAAAACTGAGTACGTTTTATGAATTAAACTGATGATTGAGGTTGCATAATATCAGAGATTGATTCAAGTTAAACAATAACGTCGTCGTATGCCCGCTCAGGTTGAGCGTTCGCGTGGTCTTAGGTTCAATTCTCGCAAGAGGCGATCGTGGATGCTCACTGCTGATGAATCGCATACCAGAATGAAACAGTCGTCCAGTGCTTCCAGGTAACTAAAAGTGGCTTAACAACGATCAACTCATCATTTCAATGAAACTCAACAATCTCGATAAATCTATAAAGAAAAATTAATTATTATTATGAATTGTTTAAAAATACTGTGGTGAGCACTACTTATAAGTAGTATGTGACGTTAGTGTCAACGTCATGTCTGGCAGCAGAAGATGAGGGAAGATCAAGAGGAAAGAAGAGTGGGAACACAATGAAATTTGTATGAAACGCATGAATAGTGAAATGTCAGACAATGGATTGATGTTTTGCAGACTAACGGTTTACAATATGGTTTTCCTATTTTACTGAGTAACTCTGTAATTTTCGTTAATTACAATTAGGCTGTCCTCACCTATGTTCTCCTTCACTAAAATACTATTATAAAATTCACATTCAATTACAATCACATGAACTAAAATCTTTTTAAAAAGAAAAAACTACGTATTTTTCTATGAATTAAACTGATGAATTATTTGCAATATTTGACTTCGTAATAATATATTCATGATTGAAGAGAGAGCTTATTTGTAAGCTTTTAAGAATAGAATCACATTTCAATATGCGAAAAAATAATAATAATTGCTACGTTACAGTCACAATACTTCACTATCACATGCTTCTATCTATCTATAGGTTGGTTGTTGTTGTAGTGTTGTTTTTTTTCTTCTAATACCATTCTCAATTGGTTGTCTACATGTAAGTAACTTCAGTTTGTACAACAACAAAAAACATTGTTTCTTTTTTCTCATTGTTACATTAGTTGTGTTTCAATTGGATGATGTAATTAAACTAATAGAAAAAAAAGGTGAAGTGGAGAGGCTAGTATAGTTGAATTTTTATATTATTGACTTAATGGATACTTTTGTGGTGCGAGCTACTTATAAGTAGTATATGACGTGAGTGAAAACGTAATATCTGGCAGCAGAACATGGAAGAGGATCAAGAAAGGAAGAGTGGGAACACAATGGAATTTGTATGAAATGCATGAATAAGTGAAATGTCAGACAGTGGATTGATGATTGATTGAAGATTTACACATTAACGGTTACGATATGGTTTTCCTATTTTACCGATTGACTCTGTAATTTGCGATAAATACAATTCGGTTGCCCTTACCTGTGTTCTCCTTCACTACACTTTTAGTTCGATATGCTTGAATGCTATTACGAATTCACGTTACTCGGTAAACGATACTGTGACACAATAGGCTATTTTAATCCGTTGTCTCCGCTAACAAAAGCAAGAAGTTTTGATATGGCGTAGAGAATATATTCTATAGGCACCAAGAAAATTTGAGGTTGCTAAGCACACAACTCAAGTTTATTTATACAATGATAGCAACGTCCTTTAGAGAATCACAAAACAGCTTACTAAAATAATCCATCAACCAATGACAGTCAGGACTTTTCAGAGTGGAGAATGCAAGCTGAAGGTCAACTAAGCGACTTATGCACAAAAACATAAAACATCCAAAATTTCGACCCTTTTCCAAGTGACTTCTGGGGATCTAACGTCCCAAACATAGTTATTTCGTCATAAAAATAAAACTCCTCTCGACAAATAATTCCCAGATTTCTAGTGACAGAGCATGATCAACGTAGTTCAATTATAACGGAGAAAATTTGTAGCTTAGGATAAAGGTGTGTTGGAAGTATCATCTTCTTTAAACTGAATAGTTTAAATACTTGAAAAGAGGCCTGAAGATTCTGGGTTTGATCTCCAGTGTAGTCTCAACCATTACAAAAAAGCTGTCGATTACTACCTGCTTTCTAGGAGTTTGACTAATTTAGATAACTTAATTCTAATGTGGTGCGAGCTACTTATAAGTAGTATATGACGTGAGTGTCAACGTAATATCTGGCAGCAGAAGATGGGAGAAGATCAAGAAAAGAAGAGTTGGAAAACAATGGAATTTGTATGAAACGCATGAATAGTGACAATGGATTGATGTTTTGCAACAGGAACAGTCCAGTTCGATATGATGAACTGATATTTTGCAAATGAA